CCCCCCCCCCCCCCCCCCCTCCTCCCCACATGGCTTGGACAGGTGAGCTTCAAGTTGTGGGAGGGAGAGTGTGATATGGTATTTGACATCCGCGTAGGGTGCTTTGACCGTTTTGCAGTGTTGCACGCCTTGTTGCATGTGTTTATAGATTTTTTGTTGCAGAGGAGCGAAGCTGCTATTTCCATTTTTTCCGAAACCGAAAGGAACTACTGTGACTTTACATAATCACGATGCAGCGGCCACGCTGTTGTACGTGTACAGTGAAGTGTTTTTTTTTTTTTTTTTAAGTCCAGGGGGTAGAAGTTTTAATAACAAATCTTGACGTAACACTTCATAATCAAAACGGAGTAACTGGGCCTCCCTCCACAACTCACCACGTGCACAAAAGACAAAAAATATGGTGGAGTATCTTCCCATGTCCTATCGGAACATTCATTCTCTTTTTGCACATTCGGTGAGTATGGGCGAGGCCTCCATTCACTACATGGGCTGTCCATTCCACATGGTTCTTTTTTGTTCTTCTTTTTATTTATTTTCTCTTTTCCATCCTCAATTCAAGGTATTACATACACAAACACACTCCAATGCTTTAAAAAAAAATAATAATAATAAAAAAAATAAAAAAAATCGAATGCTTTCTTTCTTTCTTTCTTTCTTTCTTTCTTTTTCCCTGTGTGGCCGAGGGAACCTCTGGACATCATTGATTTCTCAGTCAAAGCAGGATCGACTGCCAGCCATGCGTAGGCTGTCAGGTAGGCTCCCTTGAAGTCCTTGAATCTTCTGCGGACCCCAGTACCCTCCTTGGAGCTACGGTCTTCACGCGAATAGAACGCCCAATCATTATCGCTGCATCTGGACTGAAAAATGGCCCAAATACAGCGATAATGACCCGGCGCTGTATTCAGGTCAAGACGGCAGTCTGCTGTGCCTTGACATCCTTCCCCTCTTTTTTTTTTTCTTCCAGAAAGCGACCCGAGGTAATGGTAGGGGTGCTGATAGGAGCAGGGACCACTACCACTGCCGGGGAGGCTCCATCTATTGGTGGGGAGCAGCACCTGCTGGAAATCGGGTCCAGCGTCCCCCCTGAGCGTCATAGTTGTTGCTTGTTTGAACAGACATCAGATTGGAATGGAATGACATTGTGAGCAGTAGGGCCTACCTTTAAACGAAAAGAGTTCAGCAGAGCGACCCAACAGCCTTGGTTGAATGCCTACTTTTTGATAATGTCCACAAGACCTGTGGCCACTGCTAAGAGATGTGGGAACAGTTTGAAAGGCATGGTCTTCTTCGCCTCTCATTGTGTCCAGATTGGGTTTTTTTGTTTCCTTTTTGTTAAGGGCCAACCAATTCAGCTACCTGTCTAATCAGGACAGGAAGGGCTTTTGACTGAAAACAATCTGGCACTGGTCATAGGCACAGCGAACCATGGTGAGAGTGCAACAGAGGATATATCGTGGGAAGGCATTACCTGGCCGGCTGTCATTGTGCAAGAACTGGAGACTGTTATAGGGGGTCCTTAGCACGATGCTGCACTGGTCTCTGTTGGCCCAGAGGAGCTAGAGCCAAAGCACCTCCTCAGACCCCTCCTCCACGTTAAGGATGCCCCGGAATCTGGGGCAATGGGTCAGGTGCATCAGACCCATGCTGACGACTGATCACAGAAACAAACTGCACTGATCTGGAGGTGACGCCAAACCAGGCGAACAATCTGATGATAATGGACATAGTTCCGACTCGGATGACAGTGCTCACAGCGCTCAATCAGAATTCGAATGGGACATTCCTGATACGGACTATGTACCTTTCACCCCAGTTGGCCACCACCTCATACTCCGCCCCACAGGACAACAACAACAACAAAGGGAGGAGGGAACAGTGACAGACTGTAAACTGGGCATGCCCATGCTGCCACCCAATCAATCTCAACAGAGGAAGATAAGTGCAAGTGGTAGTGCGGAACTGGGAACTGGGACTGAACCAAAAAAAAACACCACTATCAAAGACCACCTGGCCACCCCAATCGGGCCCCATCCCCCGATACTCTGGTCTGCAGAGGTGGTGGTCCTGCCAATCAGAAGAGTGGAGGAAGATGCAGAATGGCAGTTGGGACTCCACCCCAACCTGTTGCGGGTCCCCAAACTGGCCACCAAATGCATTGAGAGCCCGCAGGGACTCACACTGCAGGGATGGAGAGGCCAGGTCACCCAGTGGATAACAAGGAACGAGCTCTGATGGCATATAACCCAAAATGGGGATTGCGATGCAGTGGGAACACTGTTCCCGCAATATCTGTCACTCCCAAAAGGGGTGACCCCCATACTGCTCCTGTTCCCACATGCTTCGCAGACACCACAGGTTGGGGCTAATCTGCAATGGATGACACAGCACCAGCTTAAGAACTTGCCAACAGCAAAACTGCGATCAAATGCAACCTGGTCCACAGAAGAACAGATTCTCTTACTCGGAAGCGATTCTGGAAGCCCATCAGCAGTGGGACGACCCACCATTCGTCAAACAGATCCAAATGGGGGCCTAGGGAACCTGAATGCAGTGCCCCAAAAGTATACATTAAAAAGTAAGGACCAAAGCAGTTCCTGATCAATCAATCTAATGTCAGCCCAAGCCCCTCTCTTAACCATGACGGGCAAGCGCAGGGCGGTCCCACCAAAACCACCAAAGACAGCCGACCAACCGCCAAGGGATGGGATGAGGATACACGGGGTGCCCCGAGAACACCATGGACACTCGCAAAGTGCTGCAGGCCCGCAAGGCCCCCAAGCCCCCCCTCCCTGCCCCAGCCCACCTCGCCCGGCCCCGCCACTGAGAAGACCACCACAGTGGGCCAAAAAGGTGATGGAGGCCGATCTTGACATCAGATCAATCAATGTGAAGGGGCCCGCCCAACCAAATGAACAGAAGAGAAAAGCAATTTGGAACCAAATCACTCAAGAAGCTAAAAGGAAATGCCCGGACGCGATGGTGGTGCAAGAGACCCACCTAACAAATTCCCCGACGCACCAGGCGAGAGCCTCACAGGTGTGGCCCTATACATCATATGCAGCCACAGCACAGGCCACAGCATCTACAGATGTGGCTATTTGGCTTCCTCCCACATTC